TGTCCTTTCGACGCGTCGCCCACCGGGGGGGGAATTTATTCCAAATATAACGAGTTGTATAAAAAAAATTTTAAACCGTTCGAAAGGTAAGGATCTCGCATCCACCGAGGAGCGCTTCGAATCCCAACCGGCTGATACGCGTTTTATTAACGCCGCGCGGTTCTTCTTACCTAGCTCGACACGAATTTAAATGGAAATTACATTTAGGATTCCCGGCGAATTTGTCGGCCGGCGAACGACCCAGAGAATCGTAATAACGTTCGTCGTCGAAAAGTCGTTCCAACCGGTCGGGAAGAGCGTGGATACCAGGACGCTAGGTTTGTTTTCGTATCGGCGAAAGTGCAACCAGACGCGGTTAATTCGAAACACAGAACCGCGGAAAATTATTCCGTCGACGGAGGACGCGGTCGATCCGCGCGAATGTTTTCGTTTCGCGAACAAAACGACGCGTGTATCCGGCTGCGGGCTCGACGATAGACCGCGTCGAGTTTACTATACACTCATAATATCTGAAAGTTTGCGCCGCGCCGGTGCGGTGGCAGCGCTAAGGTCACTCCCGTTACTTCCGGTAGCCGCGTCAGCTCTTGCGACCGAGTTACGTGTTCCTTCCACTCTTTGCCATCCTGTCGCCGGGCTTAAATAAACCGCGTCCCGTTTCTCAACATCCGAAACCGATCGGGGCGAACTCGAGCGGGCAATTTTCTTGAAAGTTCAGGGACTTTCGAGGCACGCGAAATCACCGATAGCTGCGCGAGCCAGACGTTTTAACGCGGGACGCGTTATCGATTTATACACGACCATGAATCCACGAAAATTCTCGTCCCTTCCGGTGAGTCATATTCGATCCTTTGCATTAACCGAACAACGCGCGAGGGGAAAAGCGCGGTAAATTGGGGATCCGTGGAACGGTTAGCGTGGAACGACGCTGGAAAGGGGAAAAAAGTAATCAACGTAACCATATTTTACGGAACTTGTATACGCACTGCCGCATATACCAGCCATGATAAAAATACAACGGACGGTACCGTCAAAAATTTCCCTCCGAAAAAAAAAGGCTACGCTCGAATATAATATATTTCCTACGCGGAAACGAACGTCGTAATTCCCGTAACGCAGCTAATGATTCAAACGGGCGGAAGGAAGAAGTTTCGGTAACAGGAAGCGAGAGAGCAGCTGTAGAAATACCGAGGGTGCGAGCGACGAAAAATCTTTCTTCCAAAAAATGTCTTGATCATTAATAGATAAGTAAAAAACCGGTGGACTCGAATAAAATTTCTGTGGAACTCTTGAGCGCGGCATATAACCTTCTGAGAATAGGAATCGTTAAATCTTACGATTTCAATTCTGTCAGTTATAAAACTAGACAGCCGGAGGAAAAAGGTATCGTGTAAAACGAGCACTCGAGGTTTCTATAATGGAGTAGGACGATTCGCATGGTCGAAACTTTTACGAAATTTCGTATGTACGATATCCACTCGAAACCGTTTAAATTAGAAAGTCTATTAGAGTGGTCCGTTCAAATACGAACCGTGTTGCTCGCTGGCTATTAAAGTTTTATACGATGGCGATAACTCGTCGAAAACAATATCGTCGAATACTTAGGCATTAAATTTTGGACTGCCTCCAAGTATCCGCGTCTATTAGGCGAACGATCTTGAAATATCTTTATTACGAATAATCGCCAAGACGTCCATTTCGTGTAGTAGGATAACCCGAACGAGGGCGGTTGCCCGGTTTCTTGCCAGACTCGATAGTTTTTAGACCAGCGGAGTTGTAAACTGTATTTTATGTGGCTTATTTGCAACAACGCGAATGAAAAAATAGGAAAAGAGACGTCGTTATCGCGTAGCAGAATTTAACGACTTCTAGAGAAGTCTACGATCGTACGTGTCGTTGGATCGCGATGTTTTCGGGCAAATATCAATGAATTTCCTCGCGAACGAGGTAACAAAAAGGCTATAAATTGAAAGAGCCCTGGCGAGACGATGAAAAAGGCGGGAATCGTGCGAAAGTTTCGCGAAGTAGGCGACGCTCGACTCCGTTAACCTCGTTCCGAGGCGGTTCAAAGCACGGGGGGGCCTTTCTCAAAGACGCAAGAGGAATAGAAGCTGAAACTAATAAAAAAAAAAGGTAGCGGGGAGGGGCGAAAGAAGTTCGATAAGATAGGAGGCACGAAGCGCGTATTAAAAGTGGAAGTAGCTCTTAAGTAAGACGCAAGAAGCTCTCCGATGACGAAGTTAGCCGGCGCGGGCGGTACGACAGGAATCGTCGAGCGCTAAAACGAGGAGACGCTTTCCAAATTAACCAAACACGCCAACGAGATAAGTCTGTTAACGACTTCACCGAAGAGGCAGCCGGTCGTGCTCTTGCACGGGGAACTCGAAAAAAAAAACCTCGCTGAGGGTCGCGCGAGCAGTCGCGGAGCTAAAAGCACCATAAAAATTCTCGTTGTTCAAATATTGCGCGCGGATGCAGGTGCTTTGCGGGCATAGCAGCGCGTCCGATAAGATTAGTACAATTTCTGAGAACGCACCGGTTGCAGCAATGTACAGCGAGTTAGTATTTTACCGAAGATTTCTACTATTTTCATTCGCGATTCTATTTAACTTTAATATTTCCGAGCGTGCCGCGACGCGGGTGTGTCGAAATTGCCAGATAATAATATAGGGTGTTTGGCCACCCCTGGAAAACATTTTAATGGGAGATTCCAGAGGCCAAACTAAGACGAAATTCAGGAATATCAATTTCTTGATTGAGACTTCGTTAAAAAGATATTAAAATATTTCAAATCATTCTGGAAAAATTATTTTCGGCTGTGAGGGTCATTACAAGCATTTTTCGTCGACGGTCATACCCTCGAATTCCTACGTGCTTTCGAGAAAAAAATTCTTTACTGAAAATGTACTGTGTGGCCAGAAATGTTTCTCAGTTAAACAAATTAATATTCTTGATTTTCGTCTTATATTGGTCTCTAAAATCTCCCATTAAAATTTTTCCCAGCATCTCTAGCATCGATAACGTCTGTGATTTCCAAATACATAGCCTACGATAATCGTTCGTCTAACAGGTCATTAATATTGCCAACACAGGCAATAGATCATTCGGTTATATCGGTCGAATGTCACGATTTCAATAATCTTGCAAACTGCTTGTTCGAAAACTTTGTTTGGCCATCGACGGAGCGGAGGAAGCGCGTTGGAAGCTTCCGTTAATAAATGAATAAAATCAGACTTACGTTTTCGAATCCTTCGCGGAAATTTCAATAACCTCGTGGCACAGATTTCCATTCACCGAGGCCCCGTCAGCCTGGAGTTTAACAACGAAAGAGCACCAGGGAATCGCACTCGAGAGCGTCGTTCGTTATTCATCCATTGGTTCGATCGACGGGATTCGCGACGCAGGCGTAACGCGGCGGAGGACGCTACCGCCGGAGAGCTTTTCAGCGTCGAAAGGGAAGCGAATACCTGGTCGCGTGTTGCTTTCGCGAATTCCGCTCGATCAAAACGTCGAGGACGGCTTGGAGAGGATTTCGCGAGCGGATCGGAGAGAGAGAGACCGCGAGAGGGAAAGGAAGAGACACCGAGGAGAGGTTTTAAAGGAACGAGGAACACCGGGGGCGGTTTGTTCGACTCGTTTCGTTCGCGGTATCTCGAGTTACATTTATGCCTGGTGAAAGAGCGGCTTTCGAAGGGATTCGCGGCAAAGAAGCGCACAATACCGACGAGACGAGAGGATAGAACGTTTGGAAAGGGTCGCGGAACGGCGGAGAACGGCCCCGTGGCCTCGTGAAACACCGAACTGACAATGAGAGGGCACCGTTCGCTCGGAAGTGCATTTCGCCGGGGACGGCGGACAATGCAACGCCAGACGCGACGACGACTGATACGCCAATCTCGGAATGTAACGCTACGGTTGTCGATACGCTGATACGCGGAGCCAGCCGTCTTTCCTGTCCTCGATCCGCCCTGACACGGAATGGCTGTTGGAATATCGCGGTGGTTTCCTCGCTGGGCGCGAGAACGCGTCGCTTTATTGTCTCCGATCGCCTTTCGTCGCATATTTTTAAGGCGCATACGCGATCGAATCCTCCCTTCGTCGCGCGAATTTACGAGCGAGCGCTCCAAGTCCGAGCCACTGTTCCGAACGGAGGTGTGGTAAAAAAATAATGGAACTACTCTGTTTGTTTTTTAAATTATTTTTCGTTCGTTCTTTATTAGTCTTTCCAGCAGAACACAGTTTCGTACGCGCAGTTAGAATCTCTTTTTACACATCCGGACGGTATCTGGACCTCCCCGCGTTATTTTAGGTAATGACGCTATTTTTCCGGCTGTGCGTGTAATTAAAGCCCCGGTACGGTCCGGCTCGTACTACGGATCGTAAAGTTTATCGTGCAATTTGCGTAATGCGCGTGGAGAATTCTAACGAGTAAGAATCGTACGAGCCGACGGTTTCTTTTCATCTGATTCTAGAATACGCTCTTCGACGAGTACGACCAATTAAATAGAGCCCCGATAAAAGCGCAACGGAGGATCGGAGGCGTTCGATCGGAATTAATTAAAAAGAGAAACTTGCCCGTGACCTTTCTAGTTTTCATAGCTCGACGAAGAAGAAACCGTCGTGTCTACTGAACGCTGCACCGGAACGACCGCCCCCCCGTGGAGGTAAGGGCGTGCACGAGAACGGAGAAAACCGCCGGCACAAATCCTCCTTTAACTCCTAACGTCCCTTCGGGCCGGAAAAACGCACCCAAGGTCGATAGTAATCCCATTTGTCTTCCAGATTCGGTCCAGCCGTTGTCAGGTACAAACGTAAAAGGCCGGCGAATGGGTACGCGATCGCAGGTTCTACCTGTTCCCTCGGCAGACGTCTCGAGGCAGCCCCCTTTTCTTTTCGGTTCCTTTTCCTGCTCGATTATCTTTCGGCCGGTATTGCTAGCCGTTTTCTCCCAGCAAAAGTATACGAACGCCCGCGCTCGCGTAATTAGGAGGCGGAACACGTATTCGGGGTTCGACGGGTTGATCGACGGCAAAAATCATTTTTCGCTACGTATTATCCGCGGACGTTTCGTGCCCTCGGCGTCCCTTTGCTGCCGCTGGAAACACACACAAATACAAGGGAATATTATGGGACTAAATTACGCGGGTACATTAAAAACCGCGATGCCAAGTATTCCACCGTCGAACCAATCGATGATGAAAACCCACTTCTTCACCCCTTCGCGACTCGTACATCATAGCCGAAATCGAAACTGACAACAAAACCCCACCGCTAGGCGTATGGCGTGCAATAAATCACGGTAAAAAGACCGCGATCCTTTTTCCCCTGCCAACCCGACGAAACCCTAGCTTCTCCTTTACCGTCTGCCTTTCGGGCTGATCTTACAAAGCGCCTCTCGCTGCCGAGGAAAAGACACGGGCCTCTCGGTTCTCTCCTCTCTCTCTCCCTCTCTCTTTGCGAGCTAGATCGTTCTCAAAACACTCGAGATACTGAAAATAAGGATCTTTCCGCGCGTACGCGAATCTTCACGGACCACTTTTACGAGCATAAGAGGAATTTAAACACGTTCCTCTCTCTCGCCGGCGAGTTTGTCGGGCGAATACACAGGTTACGTAATTTTTAAACGTTTTCCGCGCCCCCGAAAACCGACGAAAAAATTCTAATAAACGTGGGTCCTAAAACCATTTGTTTTCGAGGTACAACCGCTTTTGACTCGAAGCGAATTGCTTCCCAGGAAATGTACGAACGAAGAGCGTACAAAAACATTGCTTCTCTCTCGGAGATTCGATAAACTGGTACCACGAACGCGAATATTTATTTGCGTAAAAAGGCCGAACATAGTTTTTTTGATAAAATTCCTTTGCGCTCGTGTACGATGGTTGCGATTTTATCATTCCCTTTATTTAAAAATCTTGACTATTCCGTACGTTCGACAGCCTTTTAGCCGCGCGGCCGTAAAACGGACCAAATATTTTATGGCTCGCCGCCCAAGAAGGTTGGCCCTGCCCGACACGAAGCGATGCTTTTAGAACCCGTGTTTCTTCCAACATTTTAATTATTATCCGATGCGTAGAGTATGCCTGCAAATTGTTAGACAAACCTTCGAACTCGTCCCAAAGTTTTCTATATCGTAGTGCGTCCACTCGATAGGACGACTCGACGGTGGCTGTTTTCTGGTCGGGGCGTGAAAATCGCCAGACACAATACCGAGCTGTTCTCGTTCGAGCATTGTCCGACTAATATATTTTTTGCGTAATCCCGTAAGACGAGCGGATCGAGGGTTATTCCGGGGATGGAAGGTGGGCCCGTATCGGCAGGGCTTATCAACGGATCAGCCGCTAATGGAAACCGTCACGGCACGGGCGTGAATGCGCTAGTTTGCCGGATAAAAAGGGTCCACTCGCAGTCCCTTTCGTCCCTCGGATCTCTCCCACGAGGCGACCGACCACATCGTCCGAGAACAGCTGAAACTGAAGCGTGTCGCGAAAAGTTAACGCGCCTCGTCGAGTTCTCGTGGTCGAGAATGGTCACCCGATACGAACGACAGGGTCAAAGCGGCCCAACGGGGGGTGGCCAAGGGACATTGTTGCAGAGTTCTGGGGGACGGACGGATCGATTGACTTTCCTAATTTTCTCGTGCGCCGTGACAAAGTGCGGCTCGTTGGTATATTTCGCTTTACGGTACGATGTTCAGCGTTGCATCGATGGATTGTTTTAGAATTAATTCGGGTACCGACGACTCTTTCCGCGCCGGATGAAACGAGACTGATTGGTGGCCGGTCGAGCCGTACAGCCGGTCTCGTTAACAGGTCGCATAATGGAAGAGAAATCGAACGAGCCACGGGAAACGAATCGTTTGAAATTCGACCTCGTTCTCTGTTCGTTAACACGCTCGCTGCCACGCTGGCAGCTGCCCTACGGACCTTCAAACTTACGACGATTCTTTAAAACGCTTCAATTAGATCTTCATAATCGGGACATCTCGTATTATGTAGCGTGAGGTATAATCAGGTGTTTTAGTTTCCAGTATTTTAGTTAGTCCTGTTGAATATTTCGGTTGAATATTAAACTAATTTTTCACGTCGTGGTTTAAAGGAAGAGTTTACGAAAGGAGTCCCTGTATCGAGAAACCGATCGCCTCGAGTAGGCGTTAAAGGGTGTTAGGAGAAGCTACTGACGCGAAGATCGAGGACGCGTTAGCGTTGGATGCCAGTCGATAGCTCGTCGTGCAAATGCGTCACGAGGTCTTCGACGGAGACGTCCGCGATAATCGATAGAATTTAATATGATCGTTGGGTATGTCAGGGCGATGCAATCTCGACTACTTATATTCTTTCGCTTCCTGGGAGGGTGTCGTTCGATAAAGGCAACATAATTGATAAGTGGGTGAAAATTGTCAGGGACAAGGGTCGAGAATCGATCGGTAGAATTTTCTAATTTAACTCGACGACAAATTTAACGCGCCATGGTGTACGTATACCACGGACCGGTCCATATGTTCCTGCAAACCCGCCTGCCGAAGATGACCCCATTCATGGCTCGATCACAATGGCGCGAAATGTGCCGCCGTTAAATCGGGCTTGTAGGTCGAGGCTCGTGCTCAATGGCACAGCTACAGTAGTCTCGTTAGTTTGTCATTCGGAAATGATATATAATTTTAGACCGTTGCCGTTGTAGAGGTAGGTGCAGTTCGAGTTTCAGCTTTATGAACGGATTGGACCATTTAAGCGGGGCTATAAATTCAATCGAACCGCGGACGAGAGATTTCCTTCGTGTTAGAGAGGCGTAGGACGTAACGATAATTACATATTGCAAACATAGACGGATCTGGCAACCGTACCGATTAAAATCATCGACGCGTACGAAACGTACGAACAGCAAACGTTGATTCTCTGCAAAGTATATACGAACGGAGAGTATCTTTGCCGGTAGCAGGGAATAAAGAAACCCTCGCGACCGGTACGGAATCATTTTAGAATTTTTGTCGGTCGAACTTCCGGTCCCGCTATTGTTCGTAGGTAAATAAAATCGAATGGTAAGATGGATGAATCGATAATGGGTCTTACCTAAATAATGGCAGTTCTACGTCCATTGATGCTGGGCCGGGGGCGGCGGCGGAGGCGGCAATGGCAGGGGTCTCTCCAAAACAGGAACAGGGGACACGTCCGGCATGGCGAACCTCAGCTTTTGCCAAAACAACTTGTCCCCCCACACCAGCACGGTGTGCGACGAGATTCTTTTTTTGAGATCGGCGTCGAGATCTCGTGGACATACACCGCCTACCAGGAGCAGGATCACCGAGCGGCCTTTCCCTTTCAGAGCGTCCCTGAGAGCCGCTTTAAACTCGAACCTGGCCCATTCGCCGTGCAGAAAGTTCTTGGACAATACTAGGATGGTGCGCCTGGAGGAATCGGCAGCTTCGGCGACCGCGTCGGCGACGTTGCTGCCGGCTCCCAGGTCCCGATAGTGCAAGCACAATCGGTAAGAGGTCTCGAGACCGGGTACCAGGATCGTCGAGACGAACGCCTCGTCGACGGCCGAGTAGGAGATGTAGGCGTCGAACGGTTTCTCTTGATCTTCGAACGCGGCCGTCTTGTAGCATGCGCGGAGGCCGCATCTGCTGGCCGCCCATGTCCTCAGCGTACGACGATGCTTGAAAGCGCCACACACCAGCGCCACCGTGGCAAAAATTAGCACGGCGGTGGCCAGCAGGAGCGGCAGATAAGCCTCGAGCGGTCGCGTTTCGATGGCCGAGGTCGTGTCCGTTAATGCTGCGCAATTTATGACCGATCCGTTCGCCGGAAGAGTTATGGGCATACCGAGGGAACAGGTGACGGTTCTCCAGTCGCTGATCTTCGCCCGGTTACGGGACATCCACTCGCGCACGCGGTCCAGGTAGGAGCACTCGCAGCTCCACGGGTTGCTGGACAGCCCGATGTCCACCAGATACGGATTCTGGCCGAGCTGCCAAACGGCGAAAGTGCCCAGCCGATTGTTCTCCAGTCGCAACACCTCCAGCTGACGCAGCGGAAGGAACGTCCCGTTGTCTATGTACGTCAGCAGATTGTTTTGCAAGTAGAGCTCCTTCAGGTTCTCCAACGGCATCAGTTCCACGCCATTCAGCACGCTTATCTTGTTGTTCTCCAAATGAAGGACCAGCAGCCGCTTCAATCCGCTGAACGTGTGATTCCGTATAGCGATTATGTTGCTATCGTTCGCGTACAGGATCTGCAGGTTCTTCCGGCCGATGAACGAATGAGAATTCAATTCGCCGAAATTGTTTCCATCGAGGTAAACCTCGGTGGCGTCCATCGGTAATCTGCCGGGTAGCGTCTTGTAGCCGGAGTTGGAGCAATCCACCACGTTCGCCGACCAGGATTGATCGTGATAGCAAGTACAGTTGGTCGGGCAGGTCATCTCGCAATCGCAGGCATCGAAGTCGCAGCAATGACAGAGCGCGAAGCAGTGCGCCTTGTACGTGCAGAGGAATTGAGACGGTTTCGCCTCGAGCAACGGTATGAACGATTTGTGTCTATCGTACGGAAGTCTGCAGTAGACCGACTCTAGATCCATTACCCTCGGGTGTTGTCTCAACAATAGCGAATTGATTCTTTGCAGCCACTCGGTGGTACAGTCGCATATGAAGGGATTACCGCCGATGTAAAACTCCGGGAGTTGTCGGTAAGCTGGCACTTGGGTCAACTGAAAGGCGGACAGGTTCATCCGCACGATCTGGTTCGCGTAAAGATCCACTCTGGTTAGATTCTTCTTGTCGAAAAAGGTTTGCGGGTCCACGGTCTGTATCAGATTATCGTTGACGAACAGAAGCTCGATGGAATCCGGTATCGACCTCGAGTGTATCCTCGTTAGCCGGTTGAACGACACGTCGAGCGTCTGTAATCTCATGCCCTGTGGCGCGACGCCGAGATCCATAATAAGATTTTTATGCAGATCCATCCACTGCAATTTCTCCGGCAGGTAACCGTAATCGAACTGAACGATCATGTTGTCGGACATGTTCAGCCAGAGTAGACCGGGCGCGCTGGCAAATATGCCGGACATGTCCTGCAACAAATTCGAGTCCAACCGGATGGCCTGCAACGCCGGGTTCGCGGAAAATACACCGTCCTCGACCGTTTCGATCTTGTTTCGCGCCAGGTTCAAAATCTGCAGCCCGGGCAATTCCGCGAAATCCTCCATGGTGACGTTCGCGATCTCGTTCCCGATCATGCGTAATCCGTAGAGGCTCGACATGCCCCGGAAACCGGGCCTGTTCAAGCTTCTGATCTGATTTTCACCGAGGTCCAACGTACGCAGCATTCTCATGTCTTTAAGAGCGACCGGTATGCCGTCCAGGCTGTTCCCGGATAGATTCAGGTCCTGCATACTGGAACAATTCCGAAAGGCATCCGGGTGAATTCCTTCGAGCTGATTCGAATCGAGCGAGAGCAGAGAAAGTGCAAACAGCCCGTTCAACGAGTAGGCGTCCAGGTAAGTTAATCGATTGTACGCCAAATCTAGCGTATGGAGATTACTCATCGGCGCGAACGTGTCAGCTGGTATCGTTTCTATCTCGTTGTACTGTAAGTTTAGTATCTGAAGGGTGTAAAGGTCCTTGAAGAGGGCCGGATCCAGTCTGCTGACTCGATTGTGGGACAAGTTCAGGAGAACCAGTCGGATCAGTCCGGAGAACGTCGCCGAGTTTAGCCACGAGCTGGTCAACGCGTTCCTCGATAGATCCAGAGCGACCAGCTGATTCATGTCGGCTACCAGACCGGGCGACAGAACGCTGATAGAATTGTTCTGCAATCGTAATTCCTTCAACGACTTTGCCGCGTCCCGGAACATTTCCGTCGGCAACGCGACGATCCTATTTCCGGACAGATCGAACGTTTCCAGGGATCTCAGACCGTGTAGAGCGTCGTCCGCTACCATGGAGATCGCGTTGCTCGACAAGTTCAGCACCCTGAGGCGCTTCAACGAGGACAATCCGTAGGCGGGCAACACCGAGATTTGATTGCTCGAGGCGTCCAACGACTGGACGTCCAGGGCGCAGGAAACCGGCGCGGCTGTCGATTCCTGCTGACGTCTAGGATGCTTCTCCGCGATGTCTCTGAATCCAAGATCCGCGATGTCCTTGAGCATGTTCCACGAGATGTTCAGTGCGAGCAAGTTCGTGAGCGGGCAGAATAGACGTTCGGGTATCTGCCAGATGTTGTTCCAAGACAAGTCGATCTTCTCGATCTGCGGCACCGAGTCGAACGCGCCGATCTCCAACTCCAGGCTGTATTTGCTTTTCCGTCCGTTCAAGCTACGAACGGTCAGGTTCCTAAGATCGCGCAGCCCGTTGAGAACTTTGGCCGGCCAGTGCACCAACTTGCATCCCGTCAATCTCAACGAGCGTAGCCTCCACAGCTGAACGAACCCTTCGACGTTCAACGCGCCGTTCTCGAGCGCCTCGGTCTCCTCGCAGACGACGTTCACGGCGGTCACGTACTCGCTGGTCGCTTGAGAGAAGTTGGTCCTGAGGGAACCGTTGTCCAAGTAGCGGTGGACGCAAGTGACCGCGCCATCCTGCCTTGAATCCCACGAGCAGTGCTCGGGCAGATCGAGTCTCGGGGGTAGCTCGCTGGTCACGGCGAGCACGTGGCATACCGGCAACAGAAGACACCAGCAGTAGGCCAACGACAGCGACACCGATCTCCCGAGCCTCTCCGGACCGACGAGCCCACGCATCTTTACCGAACTCGTTGCCTTCCCTTGTTTCCGTTCCTCTGTCTCCTCTTGGTCATCACACGCCGCCGCGTCGCCTCGCCCTCTGCGTTCGTTATTAACGCACGCTGTCGTCGCTCGTATACGCCCTCCAATATTTACTTCGACCGACTGGCATGTGTAGCTCGTGCGAATCGAAACGAAACTTCTTTCCGATCCTTCGATAAGATCGTTCCAACTACCATCGAGTGTTCCTTCGATCGAATATACAGAGCGTTACTCGCGTTTCACAGAGTACCTACAAGTATTTTCCACTCGAAGAATAACACTTCACTCGGTCGGCAGGTTGTTCATTCACCGCGCGCCGAGAATCCCTCGCGAGACACTCGACCGGCTATAATTGGGAACTCGACTATCGGTGCGCGAAAAACGGAGCAAATCTCGAGATAATTGCGCCTAGGTAGACGCGCCGTTTCGGGATCCCATCGTGCGAATGCTCTATCGCTCTATCGAGTCAACGTACTCCGAGACGTTGCTCATGGTTCTACGAGAAAAACTAAGCCGCGACGCGCGATCTTTACGGTCCGCCAAAAGTTCCAGACTTTCTAAGTTTTCCGCGAAATGTCCGGTTACGGTGCGTGGGCATCGCACAGTTCAACGTACGTAACGTAATCGACACTGTTCGAAAATGCAATCCGTGTTCACAGAAATCCTATTACCTTGTCCGGGTGATATAAATGAACGTAACTTCTCTCAAGAGTAAGAAAGAGAAGAAGAATTCGGAGCGACCGAAAAACCGCAACAGCCAAAACCGTAACACTCGATACGGTGGCCACCGCGCGACTGACGGTTGAGATCTCCACAGCATCTAACTTGACGCGGCGTCCACCAATCGTTCCTTCCCCCACCACTGGCGGCAGCACCAACACACGCCAAGTACCGGCACCCAACTACAGGGAGCACGCGCCTACGTCGGACCGCCATAGTGAAACGAAGACGGACTGCGCTCCCTCGAATCGACTCGTCTCTCTTTATCCAAACCAAGTAGAAATCGCGCGCGCTCCCATCGCGAACTCGCCGCGTTTCTCTACACGCGACGACCTACGCTAGTGTAACGCGCGGAAAGGGACGCCGCGCGCAACCTGTCTCTATCTTCTCGCCGTTTGTGCGGTCGAAAGAGTTGCGAGTCCGAACTCGCGTGACGCTCTCCCCGACGATCTCGGTTCCGAGCAGGACACCTTACACCTCGACATCGACGGCCACCCTCATACTACACGATGAAATCTTATTCTTGCCCGGACGACCACCCCGGTCCTACGAGAAGCCGAGCCGAGCAGAACCGTAAGATCGTATCGTGATGCGATTCCCGATCGTTGCGCGCGCGGCCTCCGTGGTAAGCGCACAACTCTATTTTTCAGATCTTTTTCTTTCTTTCTTTCTTTCGCGGATCGCGGATCGTGGATGTCTTTAGAATTTTTTGATTAGAAAGATTCTTTCGAAAGCGTCATGGCTGTCCTGCAGCGCCCGTTACGGCGACCGTTGTAAACAGTCGGTCGACCGAACACCCGTGCGTGTAAGTAGACAATCCTACGTCTACGAAAAAACAACGAATGTTTCTCGTGCATTTAGTAGCAAACGCTAAACGATTTTCAAGAATATTCGCGTAGATGCTCGATAGAGTAAAATAAGAAAAGAACGATTACTATTTTTTCGAAATATAATATTAAATACTTGGATCTTTGAAAAATGTGGGAGAATAATTGTCGACCTTCCCTGCGCTGTAATTATCTCCCTTGCGAAATAACGCCGTTCACAATTCCACGAATCGAATTACCAGAAATTGCTTCTGGCTTACACGAATCCTTGGTTCTTAGAAAGCTGAGGTAACCTTTTTCTTCAATTGCTTAATAGCCGTTACTTTCATAACACGAGTAACAATTTGACACCGCGATATAGTCGCAACATCGAGACACTCTGTTCAATATAAATATTATATATAGACGTTGAAATTAATAGTACTCCGACGAGGTCCGTTATCTATTGTTTACTCATAGTTGGTAGTTAAACAACGATGGTCGTAACCAACCGACGATTAATTTAATTCCGAAAATTAAATTAATCCGACGATTCGTTATTCGATAAGAATAATGCAACATCGGTGAAATTAATGATTCGTTTTATCGGCAATCGACATGAGCGATTAACGATTATCCGTTCCAATCGTAATCGATAATCGTTGGTTCGATTAAATTTTGTCGAGCGGTGGCTCGGAGCTATTTTCGAGATATTTGTATCGCGAGGCGCGTATCGATAGGGCAAGGATGCGAGTCGAATGGTAGGGGAATAGAAAGGACTCGCACGAGTTGGCGATTCGATTGCCGAATTTGCACGAGGGACTACGGGAACCGGTCTCTCTCTTCTCTCCCTCTTGTTACTCCCCGCGGGTATTCTCTATCGCGATCCACGCGATATTCAGAGCACCACCCTTGTCCAAGGACTGCTCATAAAAAGGTTTCGATCAATTTTTAAGTGGCCGACCGAACGAACGAACGAACGAACGAACGAACGACCAATGGTTTTCTGTTTCTCTTTACGGACTGTAACGAACGGAGAGAGGTTCCGTCGGTGTGCCGTGAGTACGTATTTCTACCCGCGTCGGCGGACCACGCGGACTGTATCGAGATCTTCGATTTGTGTGTAACACGACGACTGACTTTGCCGGATCGAGCCCTCGATACGCTCCGAATAAGCCTCGCTGATTCATTCTTGTCCACCCGTCGAGAGACGTTCGACTTGATCGATGATGATCCAGGATGATTTGTATTGTATATATACTGCCGCGGGTGAATTGAATTTCGGGGAATCCGTACGGCGTGCCGTGAAGCTCGTGTAACCGCGACGCGTACCGCGCGATAAGCGATCGCAAAATGGGTAAAGATTAGGCCGCATTACGCCTCGCTCGATTAGGAATCTCGAATGAATGCCACCGAAACTCCCACGCGATCCTCGGCGTCGTTCGCATCGACGGAGTTTCTTGTAGGCGAGATTGATCACCGTCTTAATTGACGCATACCGGGACCAACGAGATCTTCGACCGTGCATATCACCTGTTACGAGGAATTATTGCTCGTAAATACGCGTCACGTGTCCGACTTATCGATGCTCCTTCTCCTCCGGACGATATTATTTAATCTGTGCCGAGTTACTTTATTATTCAAGGATAATTGCAACGGCAGCGTCCGTTGCTCTCCGGCGCGTTACGCAAGTCGTCCGACAAAACTCGGTGTGAAAAAGCAGAGATATCGGGATCTTTCGGGATTTAATTAATGAATCTTCTCCCCGACACGGCGTGACGGGATCACGCCCCATGGCAATTTCTAATTACAACCGCTAGGACCAAGACGATTGTGGATCGTTATAACTCTGACGAGAGGTTCGTGGGAGGTCCAAGAAACTTTCCTTTTGGACGTGTAATGCTTTGGCTAAAGTCAACCGTGGTACCCTAAAGTTCGCCGATGGCTAGAAATAGGTCTGCCGGGTGCACGTACAAGCTCGTAGGCTAGCAGGTAGCGGAACGACCAACGGCCAGAAACACTTGTTCCCGCTAGATAACTTTCGTCCTTCCCCTTGACCGCTGTTTATCTTATTTACACCGTGTCTCGGGATTCGCAGACTCTCGTAGAGAGATCGAACTCGTTCGGCCTAACCCTCTAGCCCCTGGCCACTTTGCGGCAAACTTTTCTTCCCGATTCGAAAATCAATTAGCGGCAGATTCAGTTTCCATCTAAAAAAGCGAATCGCACCGGCGCGGCGACGCGCGATCTTCCGACCCGGAGAGATAACTGGGAAAAAGAAGTTTTAATTAAAGCTAGAATAAAAGTTTAATCGAGCAAAAGGGATTAATTGCCCGAGAGGGGTTAGAACGAGCGAGGGGTCAAAGGGACTGGGTGCCTCCTACTCCTCGATGATTCCGCGGCTTCTCGAGTACCGTGGACAAGAGAGCCTACCCATAAATACTCGCTTCGAATGCTTCTCTGAAAGCCCTTCTTCGTTCGCAAACAAAACCGCCCGCTTCGATACTACTTGCCCCGATGGGAAACGATGTTATTAAAAGCTACGAGCTTCTTCCTGCTAACGCCACAGTCAGCGTCGTTGAGTTTTCGAGCACTTTGCCGACAAGCCTTTTCGTTACCGCTCATCGATTCTTCTATCGCGACCTATACAGGGTGGTCCGTTATCGCCGGTGTACCAAATCGGAGCCAAAATGTTGTACGAGAATAATTAGGGAAACCCCGTGTGTCCAAGGATAGGTCCTATCGAATAAATAATGAATTTGACGGTTCTTCCAGGGTATAAACAACCGCGTGTTCCCGTTCGCAAAATAACGAATGCCCGGTAAAAATTACGATGTACACGGTTCATCGATTTGGGGGGCGGTTTTCAAAAAACGACACGCCAAAGCCAGAAAAACATTTGGCATGCGGCGTCGAAGCTCCTCGGATCGTTTTCAACGGGCCGTGTACACCGATTGATCTATGACGTTCAGAAATTTCTGGTTACCGAGTACGTATAATGTGTCGGACAATAGCGTGCTTTACGACAATTTGATTTACATCGGATTTTTCCGGACGACGGTATTTTAGCTACGTCGAAAATCTGCGCGAAACGAGCAAACGCACGCCTCCGTCCATTCCTCTTTGTCAAACGAGTCTATCACTGTCGGCACGACACGAGGGTAAAGTGTATAGAACGAATACCGTGTCACCGCCTTCCATTCTCCCAACCTGGAAAAACATTCCGATTTCTGATCGCGGCTCGTTCGTTCGGAGCGCCGCAGGATCCAGCGTCGCTCGAAAATACAATACGAATCTCGATTCGATCGGCCTTCCTTCGCGCTGTTACCTTGCCAAAGTTAAATTTCCCTGGCTCGTATTTTTCTATCTCGTCCCTTTATCGTATATTCTAAAAATTACTAGTACCGTTTACGTATCCTCCGACAAAGACGCGGATAACGGGTGAAAATAAAAGGCACCGCCGCCCCCAAGGCAGAAAGAAATCGCTGATCCGAAAGTAATTGCCAATCAGTCCGCGACTGTCTTTCAATATTGGAACAATCGGCAGTATTTACAATTTATCGACAGATCGAGATGCTGCAGACGTTGAGTCGAAAGGGTTGGAGGGGAAAGAAATTGAAAACCTCGGGACGACGCGCGACGGAAGTACAGGGAATTTAAAGAACAATCGTATCGC